GAGAGAGAGAGAGAGAGAGAGAGAGAGAGAGAGAGAGAGAGGTTGGCAATGGTTCTCTCTCCACTTTAGTTTCTGAACGTTTCACTGCCTGAATAGGTAACATCATCAGCGGGATTGTCTTGTCCTATTCTCCTTAGCTTATAAATGTCTTATGTGCTAGTTGGTTGTAGATAGATAGATTAGATAGATAGATAGATAGATGGATAGGATGAGTGGATAGATAGATAATTAGATAGATATATATAGATAGACAGACAGATGATAGATAGACAGACAGACGGATAATGATAGTTATAGATAGATAGATGATAGATAGATAGAAGAGAGAGAGGATATAGATAGATAGAAGAGAGAGAGGATATAGATAGATAATTAGATAGATATAGATAGAAAGATAGTGACAGATAGACAGAAAGATAATGATAGATAGACAGACGGATAATGATAGTTATAGATAGATGATAGATAGATAATAGAGAGGAGATAGATAGATGATAGATAGATAGAAGAGAGAGAGGAGATAGATAGATAATTAGATAGATAGATATAGATAGACAGATAATGATAGATAGATAGATGGATAATGATAGATATAGATAGATAGATAGATAGATAGATAGATAGATAGATAGATAGATAATGATAGAGATAGATAGACAGATATTTAGTTAGATATACAGACAGACGGATAATGAGAGTTAGATATAGAGATAGATAGGCAGACAATGATCTTGTCTATCAGACAAATAGATAAATTGATGGATAGATAGAGATAGAGACAGATAGATATAAAAGAAGTCAGGATAAATAATAACAGGCAGCAGACAATGATGAGCCTGTGAATATCAGTAATCCCTTCCCAAAAGAGTGGGGGTCACACCTGCCACTCAATCCCAATGCAGCCAGGGGGGACTCTTCAAGCAGTCCTCCTCCCCTTCCTCCTGGCCTACCCCGCGGGGTTGTTGTGAGGAGGCAGCCAGTGGTCTGTGTGTGTGTGTGTGTGTGTGTGTGTTGGGGAATCAGCCTCCCATAAGAGGCAGGCAGGGCCAGAGGAAGGGCAGAGGCTCCCACCTGGCTTCAAGGGGTGTTGGCCTACAACTCCCAGCCACCTCTCGGCCTGCCGCGGGGACTGCCGGGAGTTGTGGTTCGGTCCCCTCGGAAGGGCCGCAGGCCGCGCTTGCTTCAAGGCAGTTGCCGCACTACAGCTCCCAGCAGCCCCCGCGCGTCTAGCAAGCGAAAGGCCTGCCGGGAGTTGTGGTTCGGTCCCCTCGGAAGGGCCGCAGACCGTGCTCGCTTCAAGGCAGTTGCCGCACTACAGCTCCCAGCAGCCCCCGCGCGTCTAGCAAG